GAACCAGGCAGAACTCTGGGGTCTGACCAGAACCAGGCAGAACTCTGGGGTCTGACTAGAACCAGGCAGAACTCTGGGGTCTGACCAGAACCAGGCAGAACTCTGGGGTCTGACAGGAACCAGGCAGAACTCTGGGGTCTGACCAGAACCAGGCAGAACTCTGAAGGCAGAAAAGCATCTGAAGCTGCTCCAAGTGGAACCAGGAAGTCCAGGTTCTGCTTGGTTCTGATGGTCATTGAGGAATTAAACAGGTCCGGTCGGTCCTGGAACCACTCACCCAACCAGCGCCGCACAAACAGCCGTCTGAGCTGCCGGTCGTCTCCAGAGCTCCTGAAGGAGATCCTCACCTTCTCCTCTGAACATGAACACCTGACCACAGCACCATCACCTCCTCCTCCTCCTCCGGCCCGAGTCCTCCACCTCTGATAGCCCATCTACCCTCAAAGAATCCCAGAACCAAGTTCCCAGTCTGACCCGATCCGTCTGCCTGAAGGTCTGAAATGATGAAGGTTTGAACAGCAACTGAGGAAGAGGAGGAGTCCTAGAAGGAGGAGGAGGAGGAAGCTCCACAGACCCCATGAGGTTCTGGCTCTGCCCTCAGACCTCCAGCAGGCAGCTCATGGGGTGGGACCTCAGGGTTCCGGTTCAGAGCGGTTCTGAACCAGAGGAACCAAACAATAAAACATCTTCAGTTCGTTCCTGGTTCTTCCCCCCCTGGAGGAACCTGCTGGGTTCTGGTTCTGGATGCTTCTGTGTCCAGAGGAAGGTTCTGATTGGCTAATCTGTTCCACTGAGAACATCCAGATGTTCCTACTGGCCTCTGGACCGGACCGGATCGGCCAGCCTGACTGGGTTTCAGCTTTCAAACAAGGTTCAGGTCTGTGATTGGTGGATGAGGGTCAGTCAGAGACTCTGATTGGTTCAGAGCTCCAAACGGTCCAAAGTCCTTCTACAAATGTTTACCCAGAGCGCCGCCCTCAGCCAACAACCGTCTGATCCCACCCTCCGTTTCCATGGAGACGCTCAGCCTTACACAAAGAAAGGCCTGCCCCGAGTAAGCCACAGGTTCTGCTCAGGTTCTCCAGGTTCTGATCCATCAGGGAGACACAGGAACGTTCTTTCCTGCTCCTCTATTGACAACATAAGTTCTAATCTATCTGAAGCTCATCTAAGTTCTACAGCATGGTTCTGCTTCAGGGTTCTGGGTTCTGTGTTCTACTGCAGGGCTCTGCTTCAGGGTTCTGGTTTCTGTGTTCTACTGCAGGGTTCTGCTTCAGGGTTCTGGTTTCTGTGTTCTACTGCAGGGTTCTGCTTCAGGGTTCTGGTTTCTGCTTCAGGGTTCTGGTTTCTGCTTCAGGGTTCTGGTTTCTGCTTCAGGGTTCTGCTTCAGGGTTCTGGGTTCTACTGCAGGGTTCTGGGTTCTGCTTCAGGGTTCTGGTTTCTGCTTCAGGGTTCTGGTTTCTGCTTCAGGGTTCTGGTTTCTGCTTCAGGGTTCTGGGTTCTGCTTCAGGGTTCTGGGTTCTGCTTCAGGGTTCTGGGTTCTGCTTCAGGGTTCTGGGTTCTGCTTCAGGGTTCTGGGTTCTACT